CCATCTATTCATTCATCTTGAATGGGAATATTACACAGATATATTCTGTATAATTTCTGATGCTTAAGAAGCTACAGTATTGTCTCTTTACTACTAGATATTAAAGGCGTGAACTGTATTTAAAATATTGAGTTGGTATTACGACAGCATTCTCTCCTGATATAAAACATTTCCCTTCTCTTCCTGCAGCTGACAGGCTGCGTGGCATCCTGCTGCGCCAGACTGTGAAATGATGACTTTCTCACAGATGTGCAGAGCTCCCGAACGGGGAAGATGGGAAGGAGAAAGGAGAAAAGAGGGTAGAGGTTTATTAATGGCGAGGCAGCTGGGTGGAGTTGACTTGCCACTTGGGCTGCTTGTCAGGTACAGCTGCTCCAGACAGTTTTTTTTTTTTTTGGACTCGCATCACATGCCCTTGATTCAAAGTCAATGGCAGCAGCAGCTGTTTGTCCCCAACACTCCGGCCTGTTGTGCCGGCAGCATAGAGGTTTCAAATGCACCAAGCTCTGAGGAAAACCATCAACTATTTTGAATCAAATCTCGTTTTCATATCAAATGTGATAAATTCAGATCCAGATGCACAGAGAATGTCATGCCTTGTCTTAGCTGGAGGTACAGTAGGTTTGTGATGCATCACGTGCAAGGTGGAGGGAAATATCTTTTTTTTTATGCTTGAGAGGCCACGGCTCATTTCCCTCATGCAAATGAAAGCTGCAAGCGAAAGGGGAAGGCAAATGCTATTGGAAGGCTGACAGTGCTGTGTGGAAAATGTTGTGTGACTGGCGCTGAGACTAGCACAGTCCCCCAGTGTGTGCCACTGAAGGGAAAGAGGGAGTGAGCCATAGAGGGGGTCCGGGGTGGGGATTTCCTTTTCATGAGAGCTTTGGCACTAAAGGGGTTTCTCTCAAAATTTATGTCACCTTGAGGGCCAATGCAAAAGCTCCAGTTCACGCACATAGACACTCACACACACACAAGTTAGAACTTCAAACCAAAAGTCGATGATGTCGTGATGATGACTAACGCTAATCTCACCGACTGTGCGTGTGAGTGGGCAGCGAGCAGAATAAGTGGAACCTGTGGTTGTGTCTGCTGGGGCTCTGTGGATAGCTGTAGTGAGGTCTGGTTTTTAAAATAGAAATCTTTGGATCTGAATATTGACGCAGAGGCAAAGGCAGAACCTCCAAAGCAAGTGAGAGGGCACTTGTAGGCACTTACCATCCAAGAACTTCATGTAGCCAGCTACCATCCTCCAGACAGTAGTTCTGGAAGTTACGTAAGCTCCAGATATAAATACTTTTTTTTTTTCTGTGAGAGAAGAGGCCAGCTGTGAGTGAGGACAGAATTGGAGCACCTTGTTCCTTTTATACTTTGTGCCCAACGAGGTCCCAGTCCAGTGCCTATGATCTCCAACAGTAGACCCATTTCGGTGTCTGCATACTGTGGGGAGATTGTGCTGCAGTAACCTTACACTCAGGATAAAGTGATGGAAGGGAAATCTGGAGCGCCGGTTTCCCTACTTGCATTTAGTTGGATGATTCTCCCAAAGTCAGTGATAAATGGGTAAATTCATCAAACTTCTACCACTACATGAATAAACTACCGATTTCCCAACTATATGCAGGTTCATAAAAGATCAAGGCAGGCTAGACTCTGGGAACCATCATGTAACCACAGGGTGAAGGTGCAGTCACAAGAGCAGCCAAGGACAAAGCAAAGTGAGGTATCACTCAAAAGTTTCAACTAATAGGAAATCTGATCACAGGCACAGAAGGGGCAGGATTGTTCACAAATGTTCACTTCAGGTTACGCCTACTGTACATGTTGCATGAGGTCACCTTTACTGTTTTCCAGGAAGTGACAGTTTTCCAGGAAGTTCAACTCTCAATGGGCTCTTGGGTAAAGTATATGCAAAATAATGTTTTTGTTTACAGTGAGGGTAAACCTGAACTGGTTTCTGATGCTATGAGGCACCAATTTAGCCAGAATATGGGTGCTTAAAATCACAAAGAAAGAGCAATGATGAGTTGTAATTTCATATATTTCTGGTTGAAACAGGTTGTTGGAATGGGTCGAATGAGTGTGTTGATCTGTCACAAACTATATATATATATTCATAAAATTAATAATGATAAAATGTCAAATTGCATTGAGCACTATATGGCTACTGGTGTCATTTTGAAAGTTGTGATTTTTTATAGCGTAACAGGAGGAGTACAGAGAGAATTGTTTATTAACATCCACATGTCTCTTAAGAGAGCGAATTATCACAGGAGCACATTTGGTGTTCCCCAGACGCCATGGTGCTCCTGGAGGGGAGAATAAGTAATTTGATAGAAGACATTTCCTCATGAGGTTTCATTTGAATGACTGCTCAAGGCCCAAAGAGATCAAAATATCCAATATTTCACAAAAAGAAAAGATTAAAGAAAATGAGAAAAAAAGGACTATAAATGGATGTAGCATAACTTTGTTTTCTCTTCTTTCCTCTCCTATTGTAGGTCCAGTGTGTAACATTTAGGAGGATCTTTTGGCAGAAATTGAATATAAT